CTTAGTTACCCTTTTGTTCACACATCTGCACACGCAAACACACAAACACTCATACAGGCAGACACACCGGCCGCTGGTTGTTCTGCATACGAGGTCTGGTAAATCAGTGGGATTCCTGCTTGTGTTATAGTCCCCAGCATGTTGTGACAGAGTTTTACATCTTCTTTCCCTCTGATCTTCGGATCATTTTACAAAAAGACTTTCCCTTTTCACGATGACTCATAAATATTTTTGAGTCTTTAATCCATCTGAAGAGTCCAACATTTTAAGAGGTTCCAAAATGCTGAGCTTGTTTGCTCTTTTGAGCTGAAACCAACTGTTCATACCGTCATCATTTCTGCATTTTCTTTCTATTGACTGAAGTTAAAAGCCATTCATGAAAACACTCCTTGCAGAAGATGCTTCTTTAGTTGCAAAAGTTAGTATTATATTTCCCTAAAACAACGACATGACGGCTCTCAAATCTGAAAGGTTCGCACATTCCATGGAAATCGTAACTTCTGGAATGTAATAAGTCTTCCAAACAAAACTATTGGGCAATTTCTGCTCATTCTAAAACAGCCTTAAAACTATTGTAGGTTATCAATTACAAAGTATTCCAGGTCCCTCCTGCATCCCCTGCACTTCAGATTTTTTTTTTCATATCAACTTAAGAGCTCCTGATAACACTGACTGAGAAACAGCAGCAGCAATGTAACAAAGAACAATGTTGTTCATTTACTGTTCCTCCCCTTCCGAGCAAATGCTGCCCCTCGTCTTTTATTTTGATGGAGATTTGTGTATTAAGGGGTTCTGGATGATTTGCTGTGTATTATTCCAACCCAGGAGCTTTGAAGGTGCAAGGACTGGCTCCACGTAAGGTCACCACAGGATCTCGCCTTAATAGTTGCAAGCTGTTGGCAGAATTCGGAGAGGCCGGGAAGAGAGGAGGCAGAGCTATCGAGAGGGCCTTTCTGGGGTTGCCTGCAAAAGACCGGTTATGTAGGTCCCCCTATAGTTTGGAAGGAATTCCTTTCTTGGATGCTTGGAAAAGTATGCAAAGGGCACCGATTATATAGTTCTATGGACCCGGCCTTTCTAAAACAACATTTTCCAAATATTCCTTTTAGGGGTTTCCTCTCTACGTTGGCGACGGTGTTGTCTTGGGTTATTGCTTGGAACCTCCATTGTCCCTCACCCTTGTTTACAGCTCTCAGTGTGCCGAAACTATGCAGAGTACGTGACTTGCTATGTGTCATGATTGATGTTTGTGTCTAAGCTGATGGTCTGTGAAAGCAGCAGCTGACCACTTAATCTCTCCGTTATTCACGTAGGTCGAGCACTTTGAAAATACCAGCGCAATTCCATTTTCTTCTGTCTGAGCATTTGTCAAATTTACATTTCTAAATAATCCACCAATTTTCTGACACACCATCTTTTGGAGCTGTTACAGATAGATTAATACATAGATGAATTGCTATTTCTTTTAATTTTCAATATAAACATTCACATAAAACACAATGCCAAAAGCACATGCCAGCAAAAGCTCTTTATTCTTTTAACCTCTCCAGACGGCTAAATTGACTTTATTTCCTGTTGCCATTGCTCTGCCAGGACAGTTAAAGGGGAGAAAGAGGCACAGGATCAGGCACGCACATGCAATAGGGGGGTTTCTGTGTCATGGTATTTTTGTGTGCGGGGAGTATGGGCCCAGGGGGGTAAAGGGGAGGGAAGGTTCATGTGGAAAGAAGGAGCAAGGCTCCCCTACACAGCTGAACAGAATGACGCTTCCAGAAACGCACAAAGCCAGTTGGCGAACGCCGTTAAACAATCACAGCACTGTTGGTTAGGTTTGGGTAACAAAATAAACTTTGGTTGCGGTTAGAATAATCGTCATTGTCTGTGTAAAAAAAAATACACTATCTCCTTTATTAGAATCACTACTGTGATTAAGTAACTTTGCTATTAGCAGACTTCTCAGGTTGGTATAAAAACAAAAACACTTTACGGCTTTGTGGAGTTTACTTGCTCACTAATTATTCTACCATTTAACATTCAGTAAGGGTTGCTCAATGTGCTCCATCACATAATGCCAAAGACTTATTTTGAAAAACCCAGTTATCTGTCTTTATCTCCCATTCAGACGTATTTTCAAGTTTTTAACTTTTGCAGTAAATGTTTTTTGTTCTCAAAGACTATGGATTCTTTTGTCAGACGTCATCACTTTCGAAGGTCCCAAGGACTGAGGTATTAGACTATTGATTTTAACTTTTGTGATACGCCAAGAACAAAGTGTCCTGGAAGCTGGTTTGGAATCGTGACTATGGTTGCATAAATTGCTGAAAGCACTGCTCAAATTTTTAAATTCCTTCAGGTTCCTCTGCTCTTATGTGAAAAGAAGTGATAAAGAAGAAGCATTCCCCAAAATGTTTCTCCACTACATTTTGAAGACTGATATGAATGTTTCCGGTTCTAATCCACACTAACAACTATTACTTGCTAATGACTGGTGTGTTGTGCATCCCAAGGTCAGCCAGATCCCCTTTCCTCAGGCATGTGCTGCTTGCACACCTTCCTCCTTTTGAAGCAAAGACTAACATGCACATACTGCACTCACATAAATGAGAGGAACTCTGTTATTTTGACTTGTTCCAGAGATGGAAGGATGGGGCTCTGACAAGGTCTGCGTTCTTCAGAAGCGCTTTCATGTTGCTGTTAGTGGGTGTCCCACCCCTCCCAATGCCCTAGTCCCCCTGCAGCCCAGGGACATAGGGGCAGGGTGAGGGCCCCCAGGCCCACAAGGCCAGCCAGTCCCGCTTCCCAGCCACCCTGAGAGAACCCTCAAGTCATGGCCAGATGTGGCAGCTGGCCCCGCCACCCCGGAGGTCAAGGTCAAAGGAAACCATGTCAAATTTGCCACCCACCATCATTCTCCAGAGAGAGAGAGAGAGAGAGAGAGCGATAGACAGAAGCAGCCTGAGACATTGATGTTAGTGTGATGGGCAGTGTGGATGTGAGTATTACAGGAAGGCAATGTGAGGAGGGTGCCCTAACGGTGAAAGTGTGAACCTGAGAGATAGTGTAATTAAACTATGAGTGAGTCATGTGGGAGCAAGGAGCCCCCGTGTTCTTGGCTTGAAAATGCTACAGAGGAAACACTGTTCATGCGGTTTACAGCTGTTTCTGAAGTGTGTCCGGCCCGAGGCTTGTAAAGTCGTCACGTGCAGGCCTCATTTTCTCAGAGGAGTCTGGGCACTGCCCACCTGGCCCTCACATTAGGAACCCCCCCCCCGTCCCACACACACACACACACACACACTCACACACACAGGCAACTTATTATATACCCCATTTCAAAGGGGAACCTGCGTCACTACTCCTCAGTGACTAGCATTCTCCCCCCATCATTCCACAGACCGGCTGTCTACAAGTCTTCAGCTCTCCCAAACTAATGGTGGGGTTTCCTGTGTGTTGCATTTACAACCAACTGAAACATTTTACATTAACTTCACACTGCTATCCAAAGAAAAGTGTGACGTTTCATTACGTACTTGTAAAAAGACTAGAGAGTAGAAGAGTAAGTCTGAGGAAGGGCTCTAGATTATTTTTCGACATTTTTTAAATCTGGTCTTTAGATAAATAGATATCACATTTGAAACACTGTTTTTTAGATTAAAAAATTATATTTTGAATTTCTTGTTTGACGGTGGTCATTATCTTCCATGGCAATTTTTGCAGCAACTCCAATTTTAAACACATCTGCCTCATGAATCAAACTGTCACAACAAGTTACGCAGTAAGAAGACTGACAAAGAAAATGAGGGACTCGGGGGGGATAAGAAGGTCGGAGTGGTCAAATAAACACTGAACTTTCATTGGAGACCGCTGCCTCCTGTGTGAGAACTTTTTACCAGAAAGAGCCCGAAGCTATGAAGACAATTTTCTTTAATTGCCAGACCGCAGAACTATGCAATCGGGGGAAAAAAATAAAAAATCCTATAGATTTACACTGTAAATCAGTGGACTATTATTTCTTTTCAGGTAAATAAACTTCACAAAATGATGAATTGATTTTCCCTTGTTTCGAACGATTGGGTCTAAAAATGATAAAATCTCCACTGATTCAGAAGAAATGTCAAAGATGTGAAATCACAATGAGACTTGTGTTAATATAGAGCTCAACAACCTTTTAATGGACACTATACAAGTTTGTTTTATTTAATGGGGGTTGTAATTTCTTTCTCATTCCAATGCTATACATTTGGTAATTTCATAACCATCCCTTCACTATAATAGTAACGCATGATGTGTCTTGTTTGATGGTATTACAATAGTAGTATTTTTACAGCAGCTACTCCACATTATTATAATAGCCTGATGACCTTCCCCTGGAAACCACAGCGCCCCACAGCTTTCACTAGTAACTGTGTTTGACATAACGGAGACTTTCGAGTATCTGTTTTTGGTAACAGTAGCTAGCAATGTTGTATCTCTTACATCACATTATTATGATGTCCTTTTTTTCCAAAGAGGCAACTCAGCCTTCACAAGAAAAAGCGACAACGCCGGCCCACACAGATAGATCCGATAAGCCACCAGGTCAGAAATACAGCCGTGCCCTTGGTCTGCTCCCTGTCTTCCATGACTTGGACCACATGTGTTCCTTGTTTGGGCTGGACATGTTTTGTCTATCCAAACAGCTGAAGCAGCCCCTCCCCCCCAAGAGGGAGGCAGACTAGGCAGCAGCAGCAGCTGGTGCTGGTGACGCATTGCCAACGTTATTGAGTGACGTCAAACGTAATCTTCTGGTCCTGTTCTCATCTATGATATTTCACTTTGACATTTATACATCTGTAATATTCTGAAATGACGGGATATTATAGGTCTTATGAATGCATAATGCCTCCAAGATGGGACAGCGAGGCTATGCACATTTAAAAATATTTGTTTCATGAAAAACACATTCATTTGAAATCTTTTAAGACAAATTTGATGACATGAAAGTTTTCTCTCCCCCTCAGGTGATTCCATTCCCCATGTCCTGTGACATAAGAGATGAATGCTCCTGCCGGGATCTGAATGCTTTCGAGAACAGGAAGGATGAACACCTCCACTCCCTCGGGTGACCGCCCTGCGCAGGGACCTCTGTTCAACGTCCCATTGCTCCAACACAACACGGCCTGAGTCGCTGTGAGATCAGCAGATCCCTTCTTCATCCTCCTCTCGGCCTCCAAGTTTCCTGCACATGCTGCTTAACAGGCATACCTCTCCATCCATACTGCAACCTCAACCAGCTGAATGGTCTCCGCCTCCACGTCACTGAAAGATCTAGAATAAATGATGGACCCCTTGAGACTCCACAGTAAATTCCTCAGCTAAAAGGAAAGTAACTCCTGCAATTACATAATAATCAAAGAAAGCAATTTCTTTTCTTATTTTTAAGAAGGAAAACAAATACAGAAGAGAACCTGAACAAAAAATATAACCCAGCCTAGGTAGCATGCCTTTTGTTCTGGCTTCAGTGTCTATTAGTGACCTTGCTATACAATCCTATCATTGAACTAAAGTTTATTAAAATTATGGAAGTGGGGGATTGTGTTTATGTTGGCTCTGTGTTTTACAAATATGAAGGAAATCAAGACAAAATAATCCTCAGACACTTTAATTGCATCTTTTTAGAGGAGCTTATATCATTCCTGGTTCTTAACCGGTCAGACATTCTGTATTGTATGTATGTCATTTTCAGAAGTGTGTTTCTTCGTAGGCACGTCAGAGGCTATAGAGGTTATTTCTAGCTTGGTGGGGAATGCGACAGCCATGTAGTTAAGCTTCAAGCCACATGTTCAACACAAAAGCCAAAAGATAATGCACAAATACAGTACAAAAAAAAATCAACAACACACATACACAATATCCTAAGAACATTTTATACTTAAAGCAAATTCCCGAATGCATATTAAAAACAATTTAAGCATGGCTTATGCTACTGTGTTTGCTGCTACTTCACATTATTATATCTAATAGGGTGAGACAGCTTTGTGTGCCATGCCGCTGACAGGACCTCTCTATAGCATCCATTCACACGTGCATGTTAGTGCATCATACTTTGAAAGAACACAGGTTGAAATCACCAGATATGATATGCACTAAGAACTTAAAAAAAAAAAAACCCAGAACCTCACTTGTCATCCCCCTTCTTACCCAACCGCTCAATAAAATAGCTACCACGACTTAAAGAATGTCATTGTTAACACCTCGCTTTAGGTTGGGGTGATTCAAGGTTCAGTTTGAACCCCTCCCTCTCGACGCTTGAATAGAACTCGTTACCTCAAGCGCTGGTTAAAAAAAAACCCGATTCTAGCCCTGTTCAGAATGTAGTCAATGCTTGTCGGGGGTCTGTGGCTTTTTTTGTTGTTTTTGATCGCACAGTCCTACACAGCACAGCCACACAATAGTAAATAAATAAAGGGCTGGATATCTGCCATGGCTTTGACTGAAAGTGAGTACAGGTGGAAGGAGACAACATCTGACACCTAAATAGATACACATATATCTCTCCTTCCCTCCCCGTCCCAGTAGTTGTGGATTCTCAGCTGTTGTGCTGCACACAATTAACTAGTATACATAAACATGACATTTGGATGTATATTTCATCACAGCATTTGCAGTCACAATATAATCAAAAGGTTCCTACGAGTTGCTGCTGGGTCTAGTTTTTAAGGAATGCATTGATGCAGTTATGTTTGTCTCTGCAGTAAAAAGTGCACTTGGATTTTTTTGACCAGCACTTTCCAGTATTGTGAACTTGGGTGTCCGTCCCCACCAATTAACTTCTTTAGATGTTATGGCTGCTACAATAGCTTCGTGTTTTGATATTCTTCACTAAAGTCGCATAAACAGTAGTTTTTTTACTCATGCACTCAAGGCTGCTCGACATATTGATCCAAATTTCACAACAATTTCATATCATTTTAAACCAATGTTGGTGAAGAACTAAAGGCATTCAGAAAAAGTGATATGGTATTTTTATCCTCCAAATAGAACTTTTTTTTCCCATGTAAATATTACTATATGTTGTTGATGGACAACTGTGTTGAAACATGTTTTTGGTTTTTGTTTGTATTTCATTTTTTACACAATGTCATATTTAATCAGTGTTTATATTATTGACCTCAGTTACTGCACTTTTTTTATTTTCCGTGTAAGGAGAAAAGTATATCTTTCAAAAATGTTTAGAAGCTGCTATTGTCCGAATGGTGATCTGAAACAAACTGAATGTCATGATATTCAGTCGTTTGACTCCCTGTGTCGCTATTAGCTTTCCTATCATTAGTATGATTTGTGTTTGGCCATGATTCCTTCTTTTCAATCCTAAGCTGACTTTGCATTTGAGGTTATCAATGAAGTAGAGAGGTATTGTCTCTACAAACAATGAATCCATCCGTCTTTCCATCATCCACACAGGACCCACAAACCCCCACCAAAAGTTGGAAAAATAGATTTTTATTTAAGGTCTAACTACTGCAAGTTAGTTTGCAATGGGGAAGGATACTAAATGAATTAAACGGGACTCATGACTAACTTTTAGGAAATATGAACTTTGAAAGCACGTTCTATAGGCTCTATCATCAGATTACATCAAAACATATAAAGTCCTGCATACATTTTTTGGGGGGGATATTATCAAATTATATGTAATATTAATGGTAAATGGAATGTATTTGTATTGTGCTTTTCTAGTCTTCTGACCGCTCAAAGCGCTGCAACAATACATGTCATCATTCATGTATTGATGGCAGGAGCCACCCGCCCAGCAGCACCTATCGTTCACAACCGCTATTCACAGCTACGGGAGCAATTAGGGGTTAAGTGTCTGTGGAGCTGGAGATCGAACAATCGATCTTCTGGTTGTAGGGCTGCCCCGCTCTCCATTAAGTAGGACCTACTCCTGGAAATGCTGCTTAACACTTAACACAGTACTGCAATTGACTGCACTGAAAAGTCATGCTAACCTTTTTAAACGGATTAATCAAAACTCAAGTCATTGAATCCTTCCCTTCTTCATATAAATGAACATGACCGGCCGTCGCGTCCAAAAACGTAGAACTATGAAGTATTCCCTTTTGTGTCATTAGTCATTTTTTGGATCCCAAAATCAGAAAGGCTAAAGAATGGGACTTCACGTCAGCTTAAAAAACGACATTCTTAATACTGGAGATGGTACAAATTAGCCATATCTAACCACAATAGTACCACAAAGTAACACAATTATGAATTGGATGAGGACATCACCTCTCTACTGTAGTCATCACAGGATCTCTTACTGTACCTCATGCCTGTAATGTTTGCTGCTTCTACACTTTTGGTATTTTAGTGACATTGTTGCGTCTCATAACAGTGATGTACATAGTAGAACTATTTATTGAGAGTGTTATACTTTTTTAAGTTATATTTAATGTCCACGTAAGTTATTTTTTACACAAAAAACATCATCGGTTGTGAGTCAAAACTGTAATTTGTCTCTGATGCTTTGTTGTGATCATTTCTGTCATGCATCGACCAGACGCACAATACACTTCAGACTCACATCCCCACAAGAAACTCATTGGTCATAAAGTGTAGATGCATCCAATGAGGATCCAACTCATGTCCAAATGTTACTGAGTGCAGTGTATCATTTTCCCCCTTTAACACCCGAATGTAAAGTTTTTCCTTTTTATTTGCTATTTTTTTTAAATCCACAAATTAGCCAACACGTACCATATGAGGTGTTGTGAAAAGAGAACCAAGTATATAATGGTCAAATGAATAAATCCATAGTTTAGCGAATTATGTTTCACGAGAACAGTCCAAGACAAAAAAAAAACATACGTACACAGCCAGGATGGGAGAGATGTGTCAACAGTTTAAGGGAAAGAAGGACTTGATGCCACAGGACAGTTGATGGTTGCCCCAGAAAGAGTTCTTGGACTGCGGGAGAGTAGAAGGTGGGCAGGGAGAGAGAGGCAGGGGGGAGGGACGGGTGGGTGCTTTTCCTGGCTTGTCCGGCTATTTGTCCAGGTGTGAAAGTGTGTACTCACAGAGGCTGCCCCTGGGCTCGGGGTGGCCAAGCGCTGACTGGCAACCAGCCGAGGCCAATGAGTCAATTTCTCCTGGTGGGGGGGGGGGGCGGCAACCATACGTTTGTGGGACTCCCACCGCCCCCTCCTCCCCCATGTCCCCCCCACCCTCCTGGACACACTGCCTCATCTGTCACTGTCAGGTATGCCTGCTCAGGGCTGCCAGGGTCAAGCTGGCCCTGTGAAAATGGGAGAGGATGTTTGCCCAGCTTACAGAGCCTTTTGAAGTTTTGTAGGCTGAAGGAACACAGTTCTCCTCACCTAGATCCTATGCTTATCACATAATATGATTTGTATAGCAGCCTTTTTTTTTTTTTTTGACAGGCTTTGATACCTCTCCACATTTTCCACCAACAGTCGCTTCTTTGTTTCTAATTTAACACCCTGCTTGTCGAAAAAAAATGCCAGAAACCTTGTTTCTAACGCATTTCAAAGCCATGGGAAGCGTAGGTAAAAGTGTCTAAAGCCGTAATATGTTTGTTCAGATCATTGCGGAAAAAAAATACTGATGTGCCATCTTGTTGTAAGACATTTTCCTTGTGTATTGTAACACATGAAAGTACCTCTCACAGGCCTCTGGTTATAGAATGGTCCACTTATGTCTGTTTCCTTATCCCTCAATAAATAAAAAAAGGTGAATGGTCCTTTTTTTCTAAGTGGAAAATAATAAAAAAAAGTGTATTTACATATTACGTGGATATCTAGTGGTATTGCGATGTTTCGTACCCAATTGCTCAACAAATATATTTTAAGATGTAAATAATATATGATTGTATTTGCAAACCATGTACTAACTGTTGGGAGTAGCTCTCTGATTGGTTTTCATCATAACTAGTATACAAAAAGATGAACCGTGAATATGTTGTGCATTGTGTCAAAGTATCACCTGCAAGACAGAAAAAAGAAAAAAAAGACCTGTGATGCTTTACCACACCACTCCCTGTCAGCATTCATCTGTTAATAATGGCTTAGTACAAGCACTGTTGTCAGTTGTCTAAACCATGAAGTTATCCATTGAGTCATTAAATATTTATTTGTTGTCAAGATGAATAAAAACATTGGTCATTTCTGCAGTTTCGGAGTCTGTTGGAGTTGATCCTCACGTCAAACCTGACTGATCGTTGCGGTGCATCTGCGCGTGCATTTCAAAATAGTCCGCAGACAGCTTTCCATTCCTTACTCATTCCTGTTGAGTCTAATCCCGATAACTTCGTGTTTTTGCTGGGAATTTCACCAACACTGTAAAGGTTAGCCAACAGACCCAGTCGTCCCTCTGATGGCCTGCTGTCTCTTTGGTTCTTAAACAGTACCCACTTTTTCAGGCACATATACAACAGATTGGACTTTTATGTTAAAGCCAATATTTCCCTCTGTTTTCACCGTTGCGGTTGAATATATTTTTGGTGCTCTGGTACATGGCAAAACATGTCTGTGTACTATATTTTCATAAGGAAGAGTCATATTATCATCTTTTTCATTCTGCTGTCATTTATTGTGTAGAAATAAAACACTGGTTAAAGTGAACATGAGCTTGATTGTGTTTCTTTTGAAAGCTTTTTATTTATTTCCATCATTGCAAAAGTGTTAATTTTGGAGCAGCCTTATAATGTATTTTTAACTCCTAAGATTATCTTTCTTCTAAAAGATCCATAGTGAGCCTTATTTGAAATGCAAAAAGTGCTGAGGTGGTTATCAAAGAGGAGCTCGTTCTTTAAGCCGTCATTGATACATTGGCATGGAAACGTGAGTGTTGTTCCTGGCACTCCAATCACGTTAATGGCCTATTTTGTGAGAATGAACATCAAACTACTGATTTTTTAAAGTGCAGTTAATGTTGCATGACTGGAAAGAAACTGGATCTGAGCTTAAAGGAATAGTTTGTTGAGGGAGATGGAAAAAGAAAATGCTTCCCAGCAGCTCGCATGCAGACAGGCATAGCCACCTTCAGTTAATGATATGAATCATGTATAGTTATATATAATTATATAATTAATGAACTAATAATATAGTTCATAACGAATGGCTGTTTGGTAGTTTAGCAGCGGATTTCCCCCTGTTCAGCTGGGTCATGTGGTATATTGGGTAAACCAGGAACATAACAGCACTGCACAGCAATGTCAAATTTAAATTCTTAATGAAGTTCTTCCAATCGAAAATTTTCCGTTTCACTAACTAATTCTGCTCCAAATATTCACGTGAACTTTACTCTAGTTTGTTCTACGGAGACTTATTTCAGCTCAGCTTTTCTGTCAGTTTGGGCAGGTCACACGACTCATGTGAACCAAAGGGGAGGATGGAAACCTGGTCAGATTATCACTTCTTTCAACAACTTTTTCATGACTTTTTTTGACATACCTAAATGGTGCAAATTTTGTGATGACACCGGCCATTTATGACTTAGGGCTATTGTCAACATGCAATACGTCTTTATGGCGACCTACCATACCATTGCTTTTCCATGACTAATAATGTTACTATGACTTGTTTCTTACTATGTCTTATAGTAAAAGTTATATATTAAAAGTTTGGTTGTTGGTCCTTTATTCGAGGGGGGTGCACTAAAAGCACTAAAAGTAATTATTATTTGTTAAATACACTATCGATGTATTTAACAAATAATAATTACTTTTAGTGCTTGTGAGTAACTAAAACTCACTCCCAACACATACTACACACAATTTATTTATTCTATTTTGTTTAACTGGTACACACACGGTAGAATTTAATTTTTCACTTCATTATTTTAAATGGGATTCAGTACATTTTTTTAAATGTATAGACACACTATATCATATGTTTTTGGAATGTATTTGTTAATTCTATGTTACGTTTTTTTTGCAAAACACTGACTTCATCATGACAGTGATGCTATGCTATATGACGGCTATAAAAACAAAGCAATGCTAGTTGTGTAAATAAGGAAAGCTTCACAGAAATGTTTTAGTAATTACTTGAATGAATGTTTATTTTTCATATATGTAAATGTTCCTGCTAATAACTTTAAAGTATGTTTAAAGAGATGCTTCATAGCTGTACAATACTGTCATATGCTAGTCCCCTCAACTACTATTGAATTACTCATTCAATAGTAGAAAGACAAGTCTTTCGATTCAATATACATTTTTAATATTACACATTCTTCAGAAAAGACAAACAAAGCCACATAATACTTTTTTTACAATTCAAAATGTACAATATAATGATTTTTTTGAATCATTATTTTTACAATTCATATAACAGGATGTAAATATAAAAAAAGGCATTTTTCATCTGCATTAAAACAAAATTCATGGCTTAGATATGACTATGAACAGCAAAATAAAAGGATTAAAAGGACCACAGATGATCCCTATAATCCCTGATGCACAATTCAGTGTACAGTACTTCAAAACCTTACAGTTCGTTCAACAAAAACTGTTTAATCACCTACCAAATCTTCTATGAATGCACATAAATTAGCAAACATCATATTCTCCTTGAGAATGACTTTATTATTACCAAATTACCGTGACTGTAATGTCATAATTAATACTGCTCCTCAGTGAATTACGTGTGTCATCTCCACAAAACTTGATGACTTATCCCATGATGACACACGTTCCATTCTTCTGATAAGTTGTAACATATCAACAAACATCATTCAATCCAGCAGTATAATGCTGTTTTTTTTCCAACATCAATTATAATACAGTTGCTGTGGTTATTTATATACCAAACCCTCAAAAGTTATGCAAAGCATTTACTTTAAAGACTTCGGTGTGGCCATAGAATTGCATTATTTTGTCTTCGACAGATAGTTTTCAGGTTTGTTTCTAGTCGTGTAATCAGAGAATTTTTCGTGTCATTTATTGTGGAAACTGAAGATTCAAAAAGGACAAAAAGACAAAATGATTCCTGTAAATCAGTGCTATGTTAAAAGTCCTTGAATGAATACTACCCACTCTATCTTTGCATAATTTCAACAGGCTGATTAGTAGTAACACAAAGCTTTGCTATCTCAGGTGAAACAATTGAATGTAATACAGTCTTACAACATTGTTTCCGATGTACTTATTTCAATCATGAAGAATGGCTTAGTTTTTTTTTATCAATATTAACAAGAACGTGATTTTAAATTGGCTTTAACACTTGTCAATTTATGCTTTTTTTTGTGTTCCAGGTAAGCTTCAAAGCTCCAAAAAGGAACTACAATTTTACATTCAAAGTACTTAAAACCAACCAGTGGTCTCTTGGCTGAGTTATATATTACATTTTCACACTGAAGTTTCTCATTGAAGTGTGCAATCACTGGCATTTTTCTCCAGTTTTTTCTTCTTCTTTGTTTTACAATAAAAGTAGGCCACACAAAAATATGTTTTTTTTGGTAGCTTAACACAATGTCCAGTAAATTCGGCTTGCAAAATCACTGCAAGTCACTTGAGAGACACTTGCTGCAGAGCGGGTGACAAGGTTCATCCTTCACTGATGTCATTTTTGCAAACAAAACCAGAACCAAAACCCCAGCGCTGCGGACTCCAAACGCCTGTCTCATCGCAGTTTAGTGATGCTGTAAGTGTTACGCTGTACCGAAATGAGTTTTTCCATGCAGGTGGTGCGACTTTCATGTAAAGAGCCATGCCACGTGTTACTGGGAGTTCGCCCATCTTCACCACGGCAGTAGACGTACGCCATGGTGTCGGTGCGGCTCTGGATGTGGGTGCTGCGCAGGAGGGACCGGCAGTAGTGGCTGATCTTCTCCACCCTGTGCAGAATCAAGTTGGCTTTTCTGTTAGGAGGGAAGGAAAAACAAATTCAAATTCACAGTTGAGACATGCAGAACACAGTGAATATAGTAGGGCACTTGGTTAAAATTATCTGATAATTAACAGGCATAAACATTAGTTGATCAATGAAAGACAGTGATTTTAAATAGGTACCAGATGACCCTTATAGTAAAATCATAATATCATAGAATCACGGTTGGTTTAGCTGGACAGGGAAAAGAAACCGCTCACAGTTTCATACCAAAGCAGGCACCTTAAAATAAAAAAGAGAATTTTAACAATGTCTCTCCCGTCACTCTGACTGGACTGCCAGTCTGGGTCAACGACATCACATGGAACAGTATTTTAAATTTTTGGCTTCAGGATGTGTTCCCTACACCGGAGGAAGAAGTCTGCAGTCCGTCAAACAACGAATTATTTCCGAAGGCCCAGTCAGGAGTTTTATTATGGTTTTCAAATACCAGGTGAGCTACATACATTATGAATAAAATACTTTACAACACACATACACATTCAAGTGCACACGCTTATACATACATGCATGCATCTACCCATAGTTACTAAACAATAAAATACCCACAGGTTAAACTCATATGTATAGTGAAATGAGGACAGCACATACACAGAAGGGCAAAATCCATTTGTTTTGAAAAGCAGTGTCTGGCGAGCATCAACATCTGTCTTTAGTTAAACTAGGAGCACAGACATCCTTTTCACTTATTTGCTGAAAAAGGGGCGGAAAACATTTTTCTCATTTCCCTTGAATTTTCATGGCTGAAACAATGGAATACCAAACACATAATTAAGGGAAGTTTGCAAGCATGTGAGCTATGCACACATTTAAACCTGTTTGATGCCATTCATGACAAACAAAGAAATTACAAATAAAACAATTAAAGAAACATTTTCAACATTATTACAACATGACTTTTCAGGATGCAACCAACGGACTTTCTAGGTAAACAATGTAGTCTCTACTGATTTAAACAACTGAGTCCTGAGCAATTTATTTTTTACACAAACAAGGTTTCAAAAGAAGGCAAACCAGAACTGAAAAACCACATCCAACAAAAGACGCCGATGTGGGGTACCTTGCAGTACGAGATGATAGTTCTGTTTAGAGTGAAGGTAAATAAAGCAGCAAGCATGCATCACAGCCATGTCCATAAAACAATAACAGCTAGTTTTCAGTTGAACCAATGCTTGAGTACTTTTTGGTCTTGTACGACTGACTCTCGGGTCCAGGGGGACTTCTGACTGTTCTTGCATTTCACTTGACCAATCTGTCACCTTTTTTTTTTTTTTTTTTTTAAAGAACCACCAACGGAGCCTGCTTGTAAATTACCCCAACAAGGCTCAACCCTTCCAACTTCGGGCAGTAAATAATCCGTACGCGTTCATCCAAAAGCCCCCACCTCCAAGCAGCCCAACCCTCCTCCTCCACACACACACACACACACACACACACACCTAATCTTTTTAAGAACCACAATTATTCCACAATTATCATATCATTATTTATGGCTTGAACGAAGGTCTCCCGGGCAGCGGGGGTGGACATAACAAAACATTGGGACATAACATTTTTGCTATAATCAGCGCTGGACCAACTTCCTTGAAAGAATTGCATCCATAAATGTTTATTCTCTATACTTTTTGCTAAAGTGATGTTTATTGGACTCCTTTTTGAAGCTTAGTCAGGTTGACGTTTTGTCGTAATGTCTCAAGTGTTTTTTCACACAGCAACACTATATATGGGAGTGTGCCTGTTAAGGGGGGGGTCATAGTTGAGGGGAGTGTCTGAGTGGCATGTTGTGGACACCACCAACTCTTTACGAGAAAGAACAGGAAATGGAGTTTGAAGGTGACTTAGTGTCAGCGGACTCTTAGTGTTTAGTGTTTGGCTTGGCTGTCAAAACACTGCTTCAGCAGCACTGTAGCAACGCGAGGAGGGGCAGTAACCACGGACTTTTCACCATGACCTTGCCCACCATCCTTTTAGGCAGAGGTACCTCGGGAAGTAGGAGACAAAGCTTTGGCTCTTTGACATATACTAAAAACATAAAAACAAACAAACTTCTCACCTTGGGCCCAGCTCATCCTCGCTACGCCAGACGAAATCTCCAAACTTCTCATAGTGGGAGTTGTAGTGGTGCTGGACTCTGTACAGCAGCGGGGACGGGATCTCCATCAGTGTGTTGTAGGCCATCTGCTGCTCCTTGCCGCTGGTGTAGCCATTGTACAAGTTGTACACCTTGTCTGCAATCTCTGTAAGAGATACACAGAAGAGTGATACGGGCTGCGACAGATGCAATCAAACGTCAGTGAGGAAAATAATAGTGTCTTTGATAGTTATTTAGCTCTTTGTCACAATAAGTTGGTAAATGTGAGAGATACAAATTTCGACCCCTGACGTTTCAATTTAATGTAGGAATGACTACTGAAAGATGTTTTGATGATGAGCAATTCACGCTAGAACGTAGAACATGTGACCACCAACCCCGTTCTCCCCTATATTGAAATCAATGTGTTTTACTAACAATCATATCCAATTATATTCAATCCATGTCAACATTGTAAGAGTAAGACAAAATTTGGAAAGTACCTTCAGCTCGGCTGTCATCCACCATTGGACAGGATGTCCTTACTGAGACAAAGCTTGACTCAGAGAGGCTGCCTCGGCTATCCACTGCATGGAGGGTAAACCTAACATGACAATATCAAACAAGTAACGGCGTAAAGTTTATTATTTGGAAAATCCAAAGAGTAAGTATGATACAGCGCCAGAGGCAGGAAAATGGGCTGTGTAACATGTTGGTCTAGAAAGCGGATATTTGATCATATAACCTACGCATACGCTGACATCACATGACTTTTGAGTAAACATCTTGCAAGTAAGTAGCCTGGAATTATGGGATTTATATTTGAAAAAGGAGAGCAGCGAGTACCACAAAGAAAGGCAGACGAGACGGGAGTAGTGGGGCATCTGGTTTGCCTCCAAGCACTCCCTCAGGACTAAGTGCCTCTGTCTGAAAATGTCAAAAATCCACATTTTGTGTGTTCGTCGAAGGACCATACAGTAGCGTGTTAAGATGTCACAGTGAAGCGTAATGTAGGACCACAAAGCAAATACTAGAAAACAAAATGACCTTTGGATGCCCTTTCGAAAATGCAAATCTGTGGACCTCCGAATAAGAAGTGCAAGGAGGAAACGGCCATATTGAATCTAAGAAGCGCATTACGGGTAGCACAGCTTAATCCGTCAATATCCGTACAGCAGCAAAGAGAGAAGTCGCCTCCCGTTCTTATGAACATGGCTATTTTTCTCTTGCTGTCTTGATGACGCTTGAACTTTTTACTTGCCACTTGTCGCTCTCCATGTGACCATGGCAACTCTGGGAACCACATATTATTAGGAACACCAGTGCATTACCTACTATGACAAGTCAAAAAAATATATATATATAACCGGTAGCATATTGTAACAGGTTGCCATTAAGTACGGAGTTAACTTCTAAGTCAACATTTGGCTCATAGCCGCCACCCACATGAGTGATTCCAATTATGTTGGCTAATTTGACCTCCCCTCAGTTATGCCTGCATGTGTACAGACTGCACATCTTCAACCTTAGTTGAAAAGGGTGTTTGATAGGCAGGTACAAGCGTCTTAAATGTTCCAGTATCAATGAAGAATACCAACAATAATGTAGCTGTGGTTACGGTTGTTTTATGCTTTAATGTTGTAAAATAAACAAGACTCCCAAATGCGCTGTTTTTCATTTTGAAGAGAAACACTTTGAAAAAGCAAATTTAGTACTGAGGAATGTTTTGTATCTAGTTTTGAAATACAGTAAGCTTTCAGCAGCATTCCCACATACTTACCACTGTAAAAACAACAGATGACAACAAGGCAGCCACAAAAACGTGAGACAAAATGAACCACTGAGACGGCGTTATATTGCCAAATACTTTGAGGATTACATGAAAATAAAGATTTTTCTTCTTGTTGTTTCAAATTCACTTTTCATCCCGAAAGACTGTTTTTCATGTAATGTCTTGTGAGAGCTGTCCCAATGCTGTCAACTTATTGTTTTTTGTTTGTAACATGGCATGTTTGGACATAGCTCACATAGTTCGTCTGCTCTTGTTGTTCAGCGGGGTGGATGTGGTATTTCCCCAAGAACCTCACAAGAGACGCACAGTCCTAACTGGCTTCTCTGCCCGGCAAAAACAACGCCGGCCACACTGTTTGAATTATGTTGCCCCATAACGTGCAGATGGATACAATGAGTTGGGAAAGGGGGAGGACAGCAAAAGGATGACAGGAGTTTTATCAAGACAATTTGTTAAAAGTTGTCTTTGGTATCAAGAATGGGAGCTTGCCAGACCTTTTTATTGCAGTTTTATTTTTTGGAGTGGTGGTGGTTCGGCTCACATCAATGCAGGTAAATATGTTTTTCTTCTATTTTGTTACCACAGTTACCACAGATCCTTAAAACATTTTCAAAACCTCTGTAATTCGTGGACACATATAGTGATATTAGTGGTGGGCTGGATGGAGAGAGTGTAGCGTCTGAGCAGAGAACAGGCTCTCAGTGATGATAAAGATCTCCATGGAGAACAAAGCAACCAGCCACAGTCTGGCCTGCCACGACAATGTCAAAACATCAAGCAACACAATTGGCAAGACACACGACAACAACCAGCCCGGGCCACCCCCCTACGCATACTCACACTGACACAACACACATATCTACATTGCTTGCATATTGATCAGTGCTGTCCATCTCTGCGCTGAAATGATTTGCCCCTTGCGTCGTTTCTAAGGCCGTCTGGCCCCACACGTACCTCCTCTCGGAAGCGGCGCAAATTCTTTTTCCTGTGCCACAGTTTTTGAAAGCTCAGCAAACAATGAAGAAGACAAATGGCAGATTGATGTTTTTGTAAGTGGACGATGTTACCATTAAAGTAGTCATTGTCCTCTAATTTAATGAGCCGGCAGAGAGAATGCCAAACGAGGGATGACAAGACAGAAAGCCCAGCGACAGACGGACAGTGGGAGAGCAGCAGTGAGAGAAAGTGAGAGAGGATCAATTAGGGCAGTATTTTTGGCATGCTGAGAGAAGCTCGAGCGGTAAGGGATGACTTTTCCATGACATCAGCATTTGGACGGCAGAGCCAGTCCTCGAATCAATCAAAGCCACGTTGAACTGTCTCTAAATGGCTGAAAATTCGTGGCAGCTTAAAGTATCTCATGACTTTTGAAATCTTCCTGATCAATGTGGCATTACTCTGGTCCAACACCCTGAACAATATTTGATTTGCATTTTGTTTTAAAACAAATACTTAACTCTGTTCTGAACAGTCTCCCTCTCAGCCGAGCAGGACTCACATTTAAATGAAATAAATTACACCTCATTAAAAGTATTGATACTTTGAGAAAGTTGACACAACCTTAGCTCCAACAATATTTTGAAGGAAAAGGCCACTCATCGGCGTTCTTTTTGTGCTGGGGGAGTATTTAATCAAAAAAGTCACTTCAAAAGTAATGTTTGTTTTGTTTGTTTGCAGACACACAGTACAAATTGGGCTCCAGCATTAAAAAGTTCCTCTGGTCTAAAAAAAAAACCCTCTAGATACCACAGGGCAGCTGAGGTTTTAACCATGAAGGAAGGCGCTAATTTGATCAAACTACTCACATGTTTGGTAGAACAAAGTCAACACTGGTTGTTAGTAAAGGACTTTAAATGCCCGACAGTCCAACAAGAATATGAAAATGTGGGGCTGATGTTCTTCTAATTCTAATACTTGATTCACGGCTGTGTTTTGCCGTTTCTCTCTTGAAATGAGTTTAACCTTTCACACAGTGAAGAGGAGCAGGTTTGCAGGGCTACGTTGGGGCCACGGCAGCCTTGGTAATGATCAAGTGTGAAGCCAACGGCGGTAAAGGTCTTATCAGAGTCCTGATTAGGACGGCGGAGTTGGCCGCGAGCAGATGTGCCCTCAGACGTAATTGCGACGTAAATCCTGCTCTTATCAAAGAAAAACAACAGGTTGGAGAATGCCTAAACAAGGGTAACTCTGATAGTTAGAAATGAGGTTTTGTGACAGACGCCTGACTACTACAGGTTAAAGTAACACATGTTCCAAATTATTCTTCATCCACTATCAAAGCCTTCAGGACTCTCTAAGCCACACTTCTTTTTTTTTGTACCAAACAAATAATACATCTTCTAGAAATGTCAGCAATAACTGTTAACTGGTTCCGGGCGTTTTTATTAGACCTTTTGTCTTCTTTATCTCCTTGTTAAGAGGCTCAGTTATGGGTCAGTTATGAACACCTTCATTGCAAATTTAGACTACTCTGCACTTTCCTGGGCGCAGAGCCGCTGACTGTTTGCGACCACGACTTTCAAAGTTGTTCCAAAAAAACAAATCACACATTTTAATACTACAGTTTTGTTGATGGGAGACATTAATGTCAGTGCTTTCTAGCATTTCTACATTAATCCCTTATTTACCTTCCCTCTGGGATGAATACAGACAGACTACCTTGTAAGTTGAATTCCTTGTAATGCCAATGTTGAGATTCCCAAAACAAACCAAGGCCGCCACATAGCAAGAGCATTATATAAACACATGTGACGTAACACAACTTGCGAAGAACTTCAAAAGCTGGGAAGACAATGACAAGCCATAACAACATCTGCGTCCTGTCTGGTTCACAGTCTGCTGTTCTTACACTTTTTGGTTCAGGGTATAGAGGGTAAATAGTGCCGAAAGCAAAGGCAAAGTATACTGTAATGATACTCAAACAAATGGAATTTTCAAAAAACTTGCCATAAAAAAAAATTAATGGAAAAATATAGCATCACTGTGGGATATCTCTTTAAAACATTCCAGGAATTATTTTGAATTATTTTTTGTTGTTGCCGCTGTCCCAGAGACCTGTTGGGCCAGCTATAACTTTTTGTTTTTGAGGTTGTAGTCTGTGGTGGCGCTTTATTGAAATGCCATGCTGTACAGAGCTTATTTCTCCATTTTGTATGTAAATTAGATGAATAAAATATAACAACCTGGTATTAATATAATTTAATATTCTGTAATGGAGTCCAGTAAATAACCACGCAACCACATGGTTCATATAACAATGTTTGCGGGACATGAAGTCGGATGGGGTAATCCCATTCTCTGGGAAAAATCCACAATCAGCTCCAGCAAATAGACGTGTCATCAGTCATAGATTGTCAATGTTTGATGTAACGGGGTTATGGCTATGAATTCATTAAATTATATAAACCCAAGTCGGTTAGTTACCTACAGGCCTGCCAAAATGTACAAAGAGTGGTGCATTTTTTTCTTTTACTTTAAAGAATAACTATTCTGGGGGACACCCCCATTGATAATAATTCATCAAAACCTCCGGTCTGTTCTGACCAAAGGGAACATAAAAGAACGGAAGCATCTAGCACTTTCACTGAGTTGAGACTAAGGACACTTCCCTAGTTAACTCGACCCAGCTGTTGAAGGTAACATAATTTACCCCCTCAAACAAAATATAGCGTTTGCTTTGGGAATCGCAGACGCCCAAAGGAGTACGTGGTATAGCTGATATTTACCCAGTCATTTTTGTTTGGAAGAAATGCAAAAATCGCCACAATGTCATTTTAAAAGGTCTTCATTTGGTTTTAATTTTATTGCATAGAATGGTCAGATCACACCAAAATGATTGTTGCAGAAATGGATCATTACATGTAACTTCGCTGATGCTTCTGTCGAAAGTGACTTTCAATGAGTGCATTTTAACCATAAGCAGACCCTCATGTTCGCTTTCAACAAACCGTGGGAACCTGTTCTGGTCGTTCATAGAAACATTCCCAAAACCTCTACACCAACACTGATGTATTAATTAATTCTGGACGGCAACATATATTTAGAAACATTCGAATTTCAGGGAACATCTCCACCGCCGCCGGCACCGCCAGTCATTACCTCTTTAAAACCAAAGTCTCTCTCACGGGCCTCGCAAAACTCCTCCACTCGTCTGCTTCCAGGACCCCCGGAGCTGTAGTTCTTCAGGTTTCCTAACACGTGACCATTAACTAGGTAGTTCCCTGGCTTAAAGTTGTCGGATACTCTCCTTGTTTGGTTTGACAGTCTTTTTTCACCATTCCACTCTTGAAGGTATAAACAGCCACAATAAATCACAATAAGTGACTTGTAAAACTTGCTAAATAAGTCGACTTACTTGTAGAGACTGTCGGATTCCAGGCACTTGAAGACCACTGAGTACAACACCGAGTGAGGATGGTCTCCGGTCCTCTTCCCAGCGACGACGCAGGACGAACCCAAACCAGAAAACAGATCATCCACCAAGCTCAGAACTTCACCTGGTAGAGGGAAGAAATCGAAGGCAATGCCAAAAGAAGGAAGGAAGAAATAAGGAGAGAGCAAAACAAAAACTTACAATAGTTCACATTGGAAATTATTTGTACTGTTTTGACATTTTTCCTACTTTTCTGCTAAAAAAAGAGGAAAAATGTTGCATGTTTCGGTTCCACCACATTATTCAAAAAATTTTAATTTATGGTGGCTCAACAATAATTTAGTCATAAATACATTTCAAGTTTAGGAAAGTCGATATTTTATGATCAGTGATTGTGCTGGTTGGTATTATGATCATCACTTCTGCCCCGTACGAGGGGAGACGTTTGTCCAGCACCAAGCCCGCTGCTAAATCAAGTTGGACTTTTTGCTGGCAGAAGTCCATGAAGACCACATTACAGGACTGTAAAAAAAACAGGATTTATTTCCTCTACGAGAACACTTTCCTGCTTTTACAATGATCTCTCTGAGCACTTTGCCGTCTCACAAAACACTACTTTACAAGTTGTGGAATATCTTTTGTGTCAGTTTACGGGAAAGACGCAAACTTCATTTCATTTAAACACACATGAATGCCGCCAGTTTCCAGTATTCATGGGGTCGATGGAAGCAAAGAGGAACAGTCAAAATAGTTTAATGGTTTGATTCCCAACTATTTCTTCACATGTTAGAGGGCAGTTTCAGCTTGTGATACATGGGCCAACTTATAAACACACTGGCATGGCACAAGGGGCTGAGAAGAAAACGTTGGAAAAGAGAGTGGAAAAAAAACTGTACATGAAGGATTTGACCTTAGGAGGTTTTCCCCTAAATACACTATTGCACTGTGACAGTGTTGCCCTTTGAAAGATTTTAAACATGATCTCGGTTTGGATTCATCCATATTTTTTGGGGGGTAAGAACTCTAAAAGAAGTTGTTGACATCAATATCAGTGTGTCCAAATCTATAATTTCAATCTTTTTGTAAAAATGTCAAAAGATCCCATGCACTCTCTTTTCAATTTGAAACTTGGTTTGGAAAACCTCTTTCAAGAGCAGAAACTCTGTGATTTAAATGGTTAGCTGGTCTTGTAGGCTGAATTGTGGGTGCTGGTCTAACCCGGGGTTCGCCTCGCCTCTCACAGCGGATCAGCGGCTCTCTTTTATTTGATGATTGCCATCCTTAAGCTAATTGACTTTCTCCTCTCTGGAAGGATCTTTTATGGTCCCAAGGTGGAGCTTTGTTCCAGTATGCGAGTATTTATGCATGTAGGAAGTTTGAATGGTCATTTAAGTGATTAGCCTTGAGTTTAATGCTATGTTTGTCTGTTCTGTGTTCCCTCGCCTGTCACCACAAAACAAATCTTCCTCCAAATAAAGGAACCTGAACCTGAAATGTTTACTGTGTTCTTTCTGACATAAATACTTTGTAATTTTATTAAATTCAATTTCTTCATTCAATTATCTTTCAGTGGTGCTATGTGTGGTAGAGAAACCAAGACAAACTCACAGTATGCATAAGAAATATTTTAGCCCAACACTATGTGCTTTGTGTTGTCAACACGAGTGACAATGACATTTGCAAGGTTTACAACTGGCAAATATAGTTTTGGAGAAATGTAATGTGACCTCAATGATGTTTTTTATCAACATAATGGGGAGAGAGTTTTGGTGAATATCAACAATAACATCTTGTTATGTTGTAACAACTGAAACATGAGTCATATAATGTTAGCCTAATTAGTTTTCTTTTTAAAATTGGTGGAACAATTTCCCATAGCAAACAAGTTATTCTTTTGTAGAGATAATTAGTAACATTGTAATTAGGATTCACCAGATTCACCCTGTGTTGTCTTTGCCTTTTTGAAGTTATTTAGTAAAGTAAATACAAGAGGAGTGCCAATTTATCGACAAATTTCTGCTACAAAAGGATATGAGTAGAAAAAAACTTTACCAAACAGAGTAAAAAGCAGGACAGAACAAGGAATTACAATGAGAAAGCCAAGTTGCACCCAAGTATGCATTTGTCTGAAAAAATACCACTTGAACTCCCCACTCAAGCAAATATTTATTCCAATGTGCCTAATATTAAGATTGCGTGCTGAAAAGATGGCTGAGTAAATTCTTCAGTTACTAAGCCTTTATATGTATCTTCTGAAAAACAGTCAAATAGCCACACATAAAGTACTGATTATAGCTTTTTTAAAATAGTGAACCATAGTGTTTGTATTGTAGGAAAACTGCAACACATCCAAAACAATACACTTGTCATGACAATATACAGTATCTATGTGTAATAACAGAGTACAACAGAGTATTACATACATAATCCTTATGCTATGAATAGAAAGGAGCATCACAGGCTTGAAGTAGAAACATGAGACGATGTGTTTTAAAAGAGCATTGTAGTTTCAATAGAAACTGATGTAAAGTTGATGCATGTGGAGGATTAACCAAAAGTCAAATGTCTTTAGTTCGGTTGCTTGCGGTATAATTATCAATTTATGGACTCAACAGGAAAACACAAAAATGTTATAGTTCTTTAAGAACTCTTATATCTTTTTATCTAGGAAACTCTGCCGCACGACAGATGGTTGAAACCCTCTTAAAACAGAGCCATCTGAAAGTTATAAAAACTTTTATGCAATTACATAAATATATGCGGGCTTAGTGGGGGTACAGAATGTGCAATCATGTAGACACAGTAAACGAGCAGATACATACATCTCCCAATCAAGCCGTTGCTTGATTCAAAGTACAGACGGAGATTCCAGGAACACTTCACTTTATGACGTAACTGTATAACTGCAGTTTCTGAATCAGTAGCACATGTGCTTACAAACCTTGTCAAAGACAATTATCCAAAAAACAATTCATGCGCTGCTAAATATTTTCACTAATTGATCACTCGCTCAAAATCCTTGAATGCATCCCGTTCACTAAAGTTCACAAATAGCTAATTTCTATAGAGAACCTTTAATCATCGTCTGCCTCCACGTTGGTAGCTTTTAAGTGCTTCCGCATCAACCTTGTTGAAGTTGTTAATAACCAAAATCAAATCCATTAACCCCAGAAGGAGATATTGAACCCACCCAGACATTATTGGTTTTACCCTTTTGAGGGGTTCTTCATGGGTAGTCCTGTGGTTCCGTCAACATTTATGTCAATACCAAAGGCCAGAACAGCGCACAGCTGGAAAAAATTAAGGCCCAGCCAAAATTCTATTACGGTAAAAGCCATTTTGCATATTCTCCAGCTTATGCAGCAATCTAAAACCTCCTGGTAAACGCCAGGTGACCTTTTTTAGTCAGCTCAAAACGGCACAAATAATAACAAATCATGGAAAGAAGACGAGATGGGCCGACGGAAACACACGGGCCTCGAAGCTAACAAGACATGCCGAGTTTGTTGGTACGGACCCAACATCATACGTCTCTCAGGGCTTTGCGGGCACACAACAGCAACAGTCCCCGACCCGGACTCACCCAAACTCTCCAAGAAGAAAAGGAAAACCCCTCTCGAAAATCCTTGTCACATAACAAACACAGAAAAGAGGAGGGGGTGGGCACAGCCTGGGAAGATTAAAGAGAGCTCCTTTTTCTGTGGGCAGCCCTGGTTGTTGAATAGTTGCCATGGGCGGGAGGACGGCGGGGGGGCAATAACAAAGCATGAACTGAACGTTGCGGGGGTAGAGAGCAATATAAATGTTGTATGGGAACGTATATTTTGCGTAGAGCTGCATATGCGCACACAATAAGAACGCACGCCTTCGGTGGATTGGTTCCTTCTGTGACAGGTGTGTACGTGGTGGGATTTTGTCAAATGTCGGAGGCCAGACCTGCTGCGGCGTTATCTCTCCGACATGCCTTTTTGTAATTATGCCGCTGAATTCAGTCACAGGGTAATTGCCATAGCCATTAGCCGTGTGTTTTGTGTGTGTGTGTGTGTGTTTACCCGCGTGAGTGAGAAAGGGAGTGCACATATAAATCCTAAAGGTCAGTGGGTTCACACATTACAAATCTTTTCAAGGGTAAGTGGCTGAGGAGAGAACACTGGAGCAAGGCAATATTATTCGACCTGTAAGTGGACGTGCGAGTGAATCTAGAGTTCTATGCACTAAATGAAAGCAGTAATTACATTGTTCTATGAAGTAGAAATCACAGTTCCTTTAAAACACGTAGAGGCTTTGTCTTCTTTTATTAACAATTATATTGTTGGTCTCTTATCCTAAAATATTATATTTTTTTAAAATGCAAATAATGTTGCTAGCAGACAACCAAAAACAGTCTGTGCAACTCCAAAATGTTATTGGGATTTGATGAATTTCCCTATGTTTCACGGTAGTTTTGTATGTTGTATTTCCATCCTAAAGACTCAATAATAGCCTGTAATACATTTGAATTCTGCAGTGCTGCATGTGTATGTCCGCAGTATACATTATGTGTTTTCTCTGTTCATCCTCTGATTCGCCTTTTCAAATTAGATTTAAGTTAGCCTTAAACTACCCCTTCATTTCTTCTTTTTACTTTCTCTCCTTTTCCCGCAACCCATTATCAGTCCAGACATTTGCACAATTGACTCTGTTTAAACAAACAAAAAAACAAGGTTCACATTAACAAACAAATCACAGGCTTTATATTTCCTGTGCTGCCAAACCCTCCCAGGCCTCCTCTGTTAAACAGCACTCAACTTCCGCAACTCTCTGACTCTCTCTCACACACACAGGAGACATTATGCAGGTACCGACAAACGGTCACTCCTGTGGAAACTAATGCTTCACAATGCCACCTATGTATGGAAATTCAAGCGAACAAACCAAACAAAGTGTGGGAGGGGTCTACAGCTTCGAGTGGTGGGGATTTACTCACTTCATCCTTGGTACATGTTTACTGGGAGGAACAAAGCTCTGTGGGAAGCAGGTTGAGTTGCGCAAAAAAGATGTTTCTAATCAGGTAGAGGGACATCCTTTAGACAACCCTGCTGAGGCATTGTGCGGGCAGAAAGATCCATAATTTATTGATGGAAA